GGGACTAGGATATCCAATCCAAGCTATTTATTCAATATAAATATCCAGGGTTTGTGCTGGATTGGAGAGGTTTGAAGTAGGGACTAGGATATCCAATCCAAGCTATTTATTCAATATGTTAAATCAAATATTCTGAATTTGAAATATCAAAGGTTTACAACATCAGATTCCAAAGGTTTACATATTTGAGTTTGTGCCAAAGACTCAATTCCTTTATAAATTGACAGTAAGAAAAAATAGAAAAATAGAAAATAGAATACCTTTATTACATCTTCCATCATGTTATAATTAAAAGAATCTAATATGTCGAGGTCTTTATTTTTGCAAAAGTTTTAGTTTAAAGTATCTTAAAATTTTGTGTTAACAGTGAATTTAGACAAATCCTTAGTCTTTGTCATTGTCAGCTGTTACTTTTTAAATTTGTTTCCTTTTAATTTTGTATTTTCCAGGGGGGGGGCAAGAGGACTACTGCCCCCCCCTATGTACGCCACTGGTGTACAATGCACTTAAAACGCCAAAATGGTTGGCCGCCAGATGTCTCATCTCTCGATGCTTTAAATGATTTTACGTGGCAGAAACACCTAGCGGAAAAAAAGTCGTTTTAAGTATATAAAACAAATAACAAATATTATGAATTAACCCCCTTTCATTCTTCGCTAACACTCCCTTTAAAGAGATTGTAAACCATAGTTTAAATCAAATCAAATTATATAAATAGCCATAAACTTTACAGTTTGATGTAAATATTTATATTTTGAGAGGGAGACCATGCTTTCCACTAAAACCTAATATTTCTTCGGTTAGTGTACTGCGTATCACCGTAGTACACACTAAAAGCTTTATTAAAAGCAAGAAATATATATTGACTAGAAACCACCGAATCTATGAAAGAAAGTCACAGGAAAAAAAGTTTCTGGAAAAAACCTGGAAATGAAAACTTTGGTAAAAAAGTCCAATTTTTATAAAATCCTGGGACATAATGTCACTGGAATAAAAATAAAAATATTAAGATCTTCGCGAAGGGCAGGAAAGGGAAATTATAATTTAAAAATGCCAAAAATTAATAATTTTTTCGTGGATATGTAGTATTTACTGCCACAACACAAGTTTAAAAAACTACTGGCGTTTCTCAGAGCTTTTTCTTTTCTTTAAACAGGTTTTTGGAGCTCTGGGTTTGTTTACATTGCTCCCAAAGAGTACGGTATACTCTGGGTTTGTTTACATTTGGTTTACATTGCTCCCAAAGAGTACGGTACTCAATTATGCGTACTGTTGATTAGGAGGCTACTCGTATAGTTAATTAGGATCAACGAGGTTATAGTGTATAGAGTGATGACGTACACTAATCCTTTACTAATTGTACAGGTCGGGAACTTTACCGAGAGCGTACTTCATAGTTGATTATTATAAGTAGATTCTGGCCTAAACTATAGTATAATATCATTATTAGTAAACAGTTGTAAGTGTACTGTAAAGCTAACTGAGCACCCAGGTAGAGAACTAGCATAACCCATTCTTAGCATCCAGTTACTCTGCCTTAGAAACAATCATTCGGGATGAGACGTCTTTAACAATTTTCTCCTTATAGACGCAACAGATAGAAGTAAGATTAGTAGTGATCAAAAGCGCTTTTTTATCGCATTAAGCCTATACCCCCTTTCATTTTTCGCGAACACTCCCTTTAAGATTGGTTGTCCCAAATAGATTCTAGTACAATAGATGGCAACGTAATCTGTACACTCTCAGTACAGCTGTATTCTGACGTCACAAGTGTCAATTCAGTTTTTGTGTCCGACAAAATTATTAATAACAGTGATAATTTTATAATAAAGTGTTTATCTTACAGTAAAATAAGTGAAATTTTATGTGTTCTTTAGTTTCTTTTTTTACCCATTTTTTATTTAATCTTGGAAAACATGTCAACTAATGTGAGAACATTTCGTTTCCTTCAACCTTGTTATACTTTACACTTATGACGTCGTGTATAATTGGTCCATGTCTCTGTTGCCACCTATTGTACTTGATAATCTTTTTGTAAGATGGAAGATGTAAGGATGGGTCATTCAAAAACACATGGAGAACATTTGGTCCTTAAATATCTAAAGATTTCTAGAAACTACCAAAAAAAAAAAAAAATGTTGAACGCAAATCATATAATTTATTTTCTCTCCATCTCTGAAACTTTAAGATCGAATATTGAGAGAAGTTTGAGAACTGGAAGTTATCCCAACATATCCCTACATAATACACGTATCCCAACATATCGCTACATAATACACGTATCCCAACATATCCCTACATAATACACGTATCCCAACATATCCCAACATAATACACGTATCTTTATATATTAGCAATGCACTCTCCACAGGCAGGACTGTTCGAATATTTGAGACTAACCCCCACAATATCTTCGTTCAGTGTACTGCATATTACTGCAGTACGCACCGAAAGCTTAGTTTTGTTCATTTTTGGGTGAATTTAAAGGGAGTGTTCGCGAAAAATGAAAGGGGGTATAGGCTTACATTGCTCCCAAAGAGTACGGTACTCAATTATGCGTACTGTTGATTAGGAGGCTACTCGTATAGTTCCTTAGGATCAACGAGGTTATAGTGTATAGAGTGATGATGTACACTAATCCTTTACGAATTGTAAAGGTCGGGAACTTTACCGAGAGCGTACTGCATATTTGATTATTATAAGTAGATTCTGGCCTAACCTATAGTATATCATTATTAGTAAACAGTTGTAAGTGTACTGTAAAAACTGAGCACCCAGGCAGAAAACTATCATCCCCCATTCTTAGCATCCAGTTACTCTGCCTTAGAAACAATCCTATCAATCTTTTTTAATCTAAACTTTTCATGAGTTTTAGTTTTTAATATGTTTTTATTCCTTTTTTGTTTTGTAACCTGCTAGCAACTAAATTTTGATTGAATTTATCATTTTATCTCTTTGTTAAAACCAAATGATATTTTCGGATGAAAAATTCTTAGAACTTTAGATAAAGGAAGAAAAAATGTTGAGAACTATTTTTCCGAGAATTCTTTTCTAATATTTCTATTCTTTGTTATTTACAGTAGTCACCTATTGGATAATAATTTCTACAGATTTCCTTCAAGGTAATTAGAAGACAGGGATATGTTGTCGTTTTCTTTTTTTTCTTCTGAATTGTGTCAATACGATTCTTTAATTTCTATCTGATTTATTTTTAAAAATATTCTCTAAAAATATTAAGAATTTTTCAAAGACGTAAATTTTTTTGGAAGAAAGAACGAAGACGACAATTATTCACGTGTTTTCTGATTACCAATTGATAAAAGTTTTCAAAATTCTAAATAAACATTTTTAAAATATTTTGAATTATTTTTTCTGATTTTTTCGTTTTACTCCAAACTTTGATTAAGAATGAAAGGAATAAAATATACATGAGAATCTTTTTCTACTGTTCTACAAGGTTTTTATTTAAAATCAGATTTCTATATTTCTCTTAATTTATTCAATTCTCCGAGTTTAGTAGCTAAATATTACATTTTTTAGTTTGATAAATTAAAGGAAAAAAATTAAAATCAGAATTTTTTAGCAGAATTTACTTTTAAAATTAAAATTTTAGAATCCTTTCTTAGATTTTTTTTCTCCACTTTTCCACTATTTCTTTTTAAGGGACAGACCAGCCATGGAAGTTATCTGAATATGCAGTGTTGTGGACAAATTTAGAAAACCGATTCTGAAAACGTACGTAAGTTCATGATTTTGAACGTCGCCTTTGCGCTCAAACTCAGTAATTATACATCGTGGAAACGTTTTATATGTCTCAAATGAATCTTAAAGAATATGTCCAAAACACTGCATTTGCAGTTTGACTAACTTACATAGCCGGTCTGTCCCTTTAACTTATTCCATTTTCTGCGGAATATATGTTCTAAGAACTGGTTGCAAGACCAAGAGTTAGTTTAGCTCCAGGAATGAGAAAATATGAGTTATCTTATCTTTACTCTCTTCAGCTAGACAGATTTAATTTAACATTATTTATTTTACATTTTTCTAAAGGAATTGAGTCTTTGGCACAAACTCTGATTTTCTAATCCCTATATCTTTACAACCCAATGTCGTAGACCTTAGAAATTACAAACTATTAATTCTGTTAGATCAAATAATATAATTTTGAAAGATATATGGATTCAAAAATTTGAGTTTGTGTCAAATTTATTTTTTACTACTTAAAAAAAATATTTAAGTTTAAAATTTTGTATTCAAATAATTCAAACATAACCTAAGTATTTTTTTCGTGAAAAAATCAATAAATTGTTAATTTTTTGAGCTAGAGAGGTGCATATGTACTTTAATCCCCGCCTCTTGATAACTCCCCCCCCCCTCTGACAAAAAAGTTTTGCTTCAAACTATAAATACAAATACTTCATGTCTTGTTATATTTGACTTTTAATATGTAAACGTCAAATATTAAACCATTACAACAATAAGAGAATATTAATATTTACAACAGTAAATAACAATATGAAAACATTTAATCACAAATTGGATGAAATTTTGATCAATATGTTTTTTGATCTTTCTAAAAAGCTACAGTAAAATTTTGTCTAAAATTTTTTATAAAAAAATTACGCAATTTCAAATTTCAATATTTCAATATGGGTTTAACAAACAATGTCTACAGGAAAGCATAATTTTCTTTTTATACTAAAATAAAACATCAAATAGCAAAAAAATGTCAATTTCATTTCAACAATTAAGAAATTGTGTAAGAAATTGAGTCTTTGCCACAAATTAAACATTTCTAACTCCTATATCTTTGCAACCTGACGGTGTAAACCCTTGAAATTTCAAAGTTATTTAACCTGACAGAATTCATTATTTGAAATATCAAAGGTTAACGACATCGGGTTGCAAAGATATATAGATTTGAAAATCAGAATTTGTGGAAAAGAACTATTCATAAAATATTTATTAAAATTTAAAAGATGTCTGATCCTCATTTTAAGTCTCAATGTTGGTTCTACCGGTCAATCCGCTTTTTTTTAGGGTTTCTCTATCAACAACTATTACTCCGCTATTTTCTGTTTGATCTTTACCTACCACTGCTGTTTCTGCTATTTTTCATTTTCTGTGACTGCTCTTTTTTTCCTTCCTTCTCCTGATGATTCTGTTCCTGTTTCTTAACTTCTCCCTGTGTCGGTGCCTGCTCCTGTTTGCAACCAAAGATACTCTTGAAGACGTCCACGAAGGCAGATCTGATCTCGGAGCTACAGAGACAGTAGATGTAGAAGTTCAATGTGAAGTTTAAGAGCTCCAGGATATTAGAGACAGCTCTGAACACCTGGAAATTCAGGTTGTAGTTCAACTTCACGGAGTAGCTGATGGAAAGGATGGTGGCGGGGGTGGTGCAGAACACAAATAGGATGATGAGGGAGATGAGAACGAGGACAAGCATCCTCTCCTCCTTCAACCTCTGAGCTGAGCGTTTGACCAGGGAGGATTGACCGGAAACCCTTGGAGCGGATTCTTCACACAGATTCTCCGCGACAGCGTAGTTGATTGGATCCATGTTGAAGATTGGGTTACGTTTCAATAAATCCTTCTTGCGTGAGATCTCTCTAAACTTGATAATGATCAGAGGGTTGAGAATGATTAGAACAATGATCGGTCCGATGCGGAGAAATATCTCGCTAACGACAAGATATATCTTGAAGATATCAGATTCTGCCACCAGTTCATACTCTGCAGATTCATAGAAGATTTCCGTCCTGTTCTCTGGTTCAGTCTCCGGTAGTTGTCTAGTCCCGTTCTCTGGTTCAGTCTCCGGTAGTTGTCTAGTCCCGTTCTCTGGTTCAGTTTCCGGTAGTTGTCTAGTCCCGTTCTCTGTGATGTCCTCTACATTGCTCCATGTCTCATTGGTAGTCTCATTCTTTATTGTTTGGTTCAACATTTCCCTTTCAACTATATAGTTTTGAAAGCAGAGCGGAATATGAATCAAAATACCAAAAATAAAGCATAATGAGATTGAGATAACAGCATTGCGCAGAGTGTGAAATCTTCGAAAAAAGTCCGGTTTCCAGATTGAGCAGAACCTATTGAAGGTCATGCAGAGGATGATGTAGACGGAGCTGGCCATGAAGGTGTTGATGAGGGGGAGCTTGAGATACGCTTGGTAGAAGGCGATGAGATAATGCCCTCCAGGTAGTCCGTAGGATATATCAAGGAGGGCAGGGATAGCAGCCAGGAGTACGCATAGGTTGGATACAGCCAATCCTCTCAGGTATACGTATAGAACACGGCTTAGCTTAGGTCGGTTTAGAACAATCAAGCTGAGAAGGTTCCCAACAATTCCTACGGATACAATGGGCAGGGCAACGATGCAATGCGCAAAGAATTTTATCTGTGAAACCTCAGGGGTTGAGAGGGTTTCATTGTTCTCCAGGTACCCGGTGAAAAGTTGAGAGGAAATCGGAGAAACAATGAGAAACAAGAGAATTAAAGCTTTCATTCCTTGTTTGAGTATTTATAATTAATGATTACGATGCCTCTACATCCAGTGCATCTACTTAGTTGATGAATGAACAAGGATTTGAATGTATATTAGGTTCTCCGAGGTTTTAATAAAACTACCAGAGGGTTCTCTTCTCTCTCAAACCACTAATTTCTCCTCCTTCTCTCCCGGCTCTTTTCTCTCACAAACTCGGATAATTTATGCAAAAACAAAATATATCTGATAAAATTAATAAAACTATGATATATTGGACTGTAAGCGTAATTTCAAGTGACCTTCCATTAAAAGAGGAGAGTCCCCGATTCACAACAGTACCCTTTAAACCATTGTCTGATCAAGGATTCACAACGGTACCCTTTAAACCTTTTGCTGATCAAGGATTTACAACGGTACCCTTTAAACCTTTGGCTGATTAAGGATTAACAACGATACCCTTTAAACCTTTGGCTGATCAAGGATTCACAACGGTACCCGTTAAACCTTTGTCTGATCAAGGATTAACAACGATACCCCTTTAAAACTTTGTCTGATCAATGATTAACAACGATACCCTTTAAACCTTTGTCTGATCAAGGACTCAACATATCCCTATTATAATCTACTAAACAAGCTGCGGTATATATCAATAGTTACTTTCTAAAAGTGGTAGGAAATAAAAATTTAAATTTGAATATTTAAAAACGCTGTTAACTTTTACATTCGATCTACTTTCGAGTTACGCAAGTGATAGATCAGCTGTTTGAGTTCAGACTGTACACGGCGTACAGTAGCGTTTTAGAGGAATTTAAGCGGGGTTTGATATGTTTAAATGTTTAAATAGAATGATCTCCCATATCTCTCCCACCTTGATAAACAGTTAAAGGTTTCAAGGGTACCGTTGTAAATCGAGCATTGTCCTCTTTGCATGGAGGGTTACTTGAAATTACGCATACAGTCCCTTTAAAGAAAGTAAATACTAGCCTCAAACCTTAATTTCTTTATTTTGTTCAATTTTGAATATTCAATCCATCCTGTGAAATATCGAAGGTCTATTCCATCAGTTTACAAAAATATAAAGATTCGAAAATTCGGATCAAGTGATCAGTTCCTAACATTTAACAAAAAATCATATTTTTTATACCATGCTTGGTTGTTGTCTTTGTTAATTTTAATATAATGCTTGGTTGTTGTCTTTGTTAATTTTATTATAATGCTTGGTTGTTGTCTTTGTTAATTTTATTATAATGCTTGGTTGTTGTCTTTGTTAATTTTAAAAGTTGAACTACTAGAATTGTTTGAAAAACAGGAAATTTTTTAATTAAATTTAGTCTAATTAATTTTAACTGACAAAATGAACTTTAATATGTTTAATAAAAGTTTAATTAAAATGGGTTAAAAAATACTAAATCCTCGCTAAAATTTCATACAATCTTGCAGCATATGAATCGCTTATTGTTAGATTTTGATATCTCAAGACTCAATTCCTTTTATAGTATTTCAATTTGAAGTTTGAATTTGAAAGGTTGTAGGGTTTGTGCTGAAATGTGTAGATAAAAAGGAATTTCCTTTAATTCTGAGAAATTCTTAAGATCTTTTTAATCGTCTACTGACCCCTTCCTCTTCTAAATCTGACCCTCCCACTCTAAGTCTGACCCTTTCCTTTCTAAATATGACCTCTACTACTCTGAATTGGACCCCTGCCCTCTTTTAAAACTTATATTTATTTTTAAATTCTAAAAAATGTTTATCCTCTGAAGTTAAAATGAATAGAGTTTTCAAAATTAACATGCAAATTTTAAAAATGGGATGATGACAGTTTTAATAAATTATTTTATAAATGTGCTTTCAGCTTCTTTGTGCAACTTTATACATATTTTTACAATGTAGTTTTTATTTTTCCAACAGAATTTTGATTCTGATCGTGCATTGTTCAAGAATCAGAAAGGAATTAAATGAAAAATGTATTTTCTCAATTTTAGTTTGGCAATTTATTTCCTTTTTTCAATTCTTTTCTCCCCTTACTTTAAAAAAACTATTGTTGGCCCTTGAAATTCTGTAATTGGCAATGCTAGATATATGTGAAATTGTGTAATTGGTAATGCAAAATATATGTGAAATTGTGTAATTGGCAATGCNACTATAGTAATTATTTCCGCCAAAATCTGAACTTTTCTTGAGTTGTTAAATATTAATTATTTTATCATTGGTAACAAAGCGTGACAAAGTGAATGGTTGCCCATTATCAACAATTAAACTAAAGTTGAGAAAGCTCATCAAACCCTGATCAATAAAATTTCTAAATACTGTCTGATCGTTAAAATATGAAAAATATCCATATGCTTGAATATCAGTGAAGCATGCATGATATTTCAGGCAAGCTGACCAAGGCCTGAGTTTCCTGGTTCTCAGTAGTTTCTCCAACCTTTTCCCACGTATATTCCCTGGCACACGGAGTAAACCCGTGACATCCTATTCATCCCTACCGGATACAAGGTCGGATGCACAAAAAAAGTTAGTGTATTGGACCTACTGTAGGTCGTTTGCACAGCTTTCTTAAGTTTGTTGCACTCTTCTGTATAGGTCGGACGCGCAAAAAATGTCTTAATTAACTTAACCTAACCCCACAATATATATGACTTTGTAATTTTGATAAATTAGGCCGCAGTTCTCGGCCCCCTAACCTGTCCTAGCTGCAGCACTCGGCATAAAAATTGTCTTAACTTAACCTAACCCCACATATTGTCCATCATTTGGTCATTTTGATAAATGTGGCCGCAGCGCTCGGTCCCTTAGTCTGTCCTAGCTGCAGCGCTCGGCCAAGAAATTGTCTTAACCTAACCTGACCCCACATATTTGCTATAACTTTGTCATTTTGATAAATGTGGCCACAGCGCTCGGCCCCCTACCCTGTCCTAGGCGAAGTGTTTGGCCCAGAAATTGTCTTAACTTAACCTAACCCCAAATACTGGCTATCACTTGGTCATTTTATAAAGTTTATAAAAGTTGAGCATCCGACCTACTTAGGTTGTGTATCCAACCTACTAAAGTTATGCCTTCGACCTTTAAAATCTGTACATCCAACCCACTAAAGTTGTGCATCCGACCTAAGTTGTGCATCCGACCTACTAAAGTTATGCCTTCGACCTACAAAATCTGTGCATCAGACCTACAAAAGTTGTGAATCCAACCTATTAAAGTTGCGCATCCGACCTAAGTTGCGCATCCGACCTACTAGAATTGTGCATCCAATCTACAAAAAGTGTGCATCTGACCTACTTAAAGTTGTGTGCATCCGGTACATCGATCCTTCTAATAGCACTGTCAACTACTGACAATCTGCAGTTACTGCGCGGTGTTGGGCAGATTAACAAAATAGAATGTGGATCTGACCTACAGCTGTGTCGTATGTCGGATGTTTCAGTATGTCCGAAGTATCGTAGAACGGAAGAACTGTGTAGGGCGGAAATGCTGAAGGACAGTTAAGTAAAATTACCTTGTCCAAGATTCTGTAAGACTTTCGTCGAAGACGACATTGCCAGACATCTTGTATTTTTGATAAATAATTTTGTTAGGTAAATCGACGTAAATTTTCTCTAAATTTTCTCTATATACGAATACGATGTTCAATCTTTATGTTTATCTGCAGGGTTACCTGCAAAGGATGAGACTTTAGCGACGACTTTCTGAAATATATCCTGCTTGTTTTCTTATATTCATGGTTCCAAACACATGGTTCCAAGCACATGGTTCCAAGCACATGGTTTCAAGCACATGGTTCCCAAGCACATGGTTCCAAGCACATGGTTTCCAAGCACATGGTTCCAAGCACATGGTTCCAAGCACATGGTTCCAAGCACATGGTTCCCAAGCACATGGTTCCAATATATTCAAGACAATTGACTTAATTCAACATTGGAAATCCTATTTAAAGGGTTTCAGGTCGTCTTTACAGTCTCGTCCTTTGTGGATAACTCTTCAGCACTCCCAGACATCTGACCTACTTAAAATTGTGTGCATCCGGTACATCGATCCTTCTAATAGCACTGTCAACTAAAACTGACAATATCTGCAGTTACTGCGCGGCGTTGGGCAGATTAACAAAATAGAATGTGGATCTGACCTACAGCTGTGTCGTATGTCCGATGTTTCAGTATGTCCGAAGTATCGTAGAACAGAAGAACTGTGTAGGGCGGAAATGCTGAAGGACAGTTAAGTAACATTACCTTGATGTCCAAGATTCTGTAAGACTTTCGTCGAAGACGACATTGCCAGACATCTTGTAGTTTTGATAAATAATTATGTTCGGTAAATCGACGTAAATTTTCTCTAAATTTTCTCTATATACGAATACGATGTTCAATCTTTATGTTTATCTGCAGGGTTACCCGCAAAGGATGAGACTTTGGCGACGACTTTCTGAAATATATCCAGCTTGTTTTCTTATATTCATGGTTCCAAGCACATGGTTCCAAGCACATGGTTCCAAGCACATGGTTTCAATCACATGGTTCCAAGCACATGGTTTCAATATAGAACGACTATATTCAAGGCAATTGACTTAATTCAACATTGGAAATCCTATTTAAAGGGTTTCAGGTCGTCTTTACAGTCTCGTCCTTTGTGGATAACTCTTCAGCACTCCCAGTCGCAGTTTCTCGGCCCCCTAGCATAAATCAAAGCCGCTGCATTTCTACAATTTAAGATTTTAGTTTTGATAGAATATAGTGTAATTAAGTGTAGAAGTGTAGCGACCAGATATCGTCTTTGTACAAAAAGAGGAAATGCCTAATTTGAAAACTTACAATTTTTCAGATTTTAATTGGTAAAAATATGTTTATTAACCATGCGCATGACAACAAAATTGTGGAAACATTTCAAAATGAGTGAATAATTAAGTAAGTAAGCATAAAGTAAGTAATCATTTATTTATGAAAAATAACAAAAACAAAAAGTGTTTAAGGAAAACATATTTGAAAACCTCCAAAAATAGAGGTTGTGGGAATATTTCCCCCAAATTCTAAAAAATAGAAATAGCAGGAAAAGGATAGGAAAGGAAAGGAAAAGGAAAGTTACATATTTATTGTTTACATTATATTCAATATAAACTAGTGGTGGATTGTTAGTATTTTTCGACGATGAACTAACAACTTTTTGAAATTAAAATGATAGATTTATTCAAAAAAAATAAAATAGGCTTAATGGGTTGTAAAAAATGTATAAGCTTTACGCAAAATGGACATTTTTAAGCATCTTTTTAATTTGCGCCGATTTTTGACATCCTTTATGTTTGATTATATCTTTTACTCTTTTTAATCTTTTTGGTCTTTTCTTTGCAAATTCGTCTTTGCTTTCTTCGATTATTTTGCAAACATAGCATGTGTTATAATTTATACATTTGTTCTTCTGATAAAAGTCTTCAATTAGATTCTGTTTAAAATTCGAAATAAGATTGATATTTGAAAGCTTTGAAAAGTGTCATTTATTTTCATACCATTTTTTTAGGGAAATTGTGAGGAGGAAGCAGTCCAGTTTTAATAGATTTTACTCTAGGAATATAAAAATCATTTCTGTTTCTAAGATTTGGTATTTTTTGATTGATTGAAATCTTTTTTAAATCATTGTGGTTATTGGTCTTCTTTAAATTGAAACAAAAATTTTATAACATTAAAAATTCCTAAGTTTCTGAAGGGGAGCATGTTCAAAGCCCAAAAAGCTTCCGCTGTGTGACTTATTCTAGGTAACCCCAACGAACGACGAATAGCTTTTTTTTGCAATGATAATGATAGAAATTAAGATTTTTAAAATGATAACAAAGCAACACATTGTTGGTACTCATTTTTTAAAGTTCTAAGCTCAGGTCTGACTCAACAAACCAGGAAGTAAGAAACTTGAAAGAGAGAATAGGATAAAACTAAGGGAGTGTTTATTGTTTATCTTCAGAACAATGTTTACTTCAATATCGACACGTCCTGACCTTTGTACCTTGTCAAACTTAACAAGAAACACAGAAAGATCAAAACAGATAATATAATAGATTGGTAGGACTGGTATAGGACTAAAATGTTTATTAAAGGACTAGCATATATAGAAGAGGACTAATATAGATTATATTGGACTAGAATAAATAAAATAGAACTAACTAGAATAGATAGTTTAGGACTAGAATAAAAAGTACAAAACTAGAATAGATGGTATAGGACTAGGATAGATAGTATAGGACTAATCTAGATGGCATAGGACTAATGTAAATGGTAAAGGACTAGAATATATAGTATAGGACTAATATAGATGGTATAGGACTAATATATATGGTAAAGGACCAGAATATATAGCAGAGGACTAATATGGATGATATAGGACTAGAATAGATGGCATAGGACTAGATTAGATGGTATAGGACTAAACTAGATGGAATAGGACTAATATGAATGGTATAGGACTAATATAAATGGCAAAGGACTAGAATATATAGCAGAGGACTAATATGGATGGTATAGGACTAGATTAGATGGTATATGACTAAACTAGATGGAATAGGACTAGGATAGATTGTATAGGACTAGGAGAGATGGTATAGCTATAGTATGGATAGTATAGTACTAATATAGATGGCATAGGACTAGGATACATGGTATAGGACTAGAAAACATGGTATAGGACTAGGAAAGATGGTATAGGACTAGGATAGATGATATAGGACTAGGATACATGGTATAGGACTAGGATACATTGTATAGGACTAGGATAGATGGTATAGGACTAGGATACATGGTATAGGACTAGGAAAGATGGTATAGGACTAGGATAGATGATATAGGACTAGGATAAATGGTATAGGACTAGGGCACATGGTATAGGACTAGGTTACATGGTATAGGACTAGGATACATGGTATAGGACTAGGATAGATGGTATAGGAATACTGCTACGGCTCGGGTTGTACTTATCCCTGGTATCCAGTTGTATTCAAGGGACTGTTCACTCTTATCAAGAACAATCCGAAGTACAACAGTATAGGAGGACTAGGATACATGGTATAGGACTAGGATAGATGGTATAAAAAACGGTTATTTCTAGATAACATTAATTAGAATAAAATCTTATAAAACAAATTTACGCTGTAGTGGAATACTAATAATAAAAGTATGTACAAATCAATATAGTTTTACATTATATTGCATTCCGAACATACATACACCCTTACATAATTCATATATATGAGAAATTTACTGTCGGGGGTTCATTGTTCATATGGAATTGAGTATTAAGGACAAATTTTTTTTTTGGAGGGGGTAAACTATAGTAGATAAACTATAGGAACTGTAGTCCTGTATTTAGAGAAACTATAGGAACTGTAGTCCTGTATTAGGAGGAACTATATGAGCTGTTCTCCAGTATTCAGAGGAACTATAGAAGATGTAGACCTGTATTCAGAGGAACTATAGAAGCTGTACTCCTGTACTCAGAGCAACTATAGAAGATGTACTCCTGTATTCAGAGGAACTATAGAAGCTGTACTCCTGTATTCAGAGGAACTATAGAAGCTGTACTTCTGTATTCAGAGGAACTATAGAAGCTGTAGTCCTGAACTGTAGTCCTGTGTCTAGTAATGATTTCTCTCTGCTTGCTGTCATAGATACCATTAGAACTTTTCAATTGTGTATAATAAAGCGTTTAGCGCGTCGGCCCTGCTTCTGGTGGCGCGCGCAGCACGCGCACTTCGGTGAGAATTAGCACAGGTGGGATAGCAGTCGCGCACAAACAGAGACAACGGACGGAGAAATCAAGTATACGGGATGTTTAATCATATCCTAGATATATAGTATCCGAAACCTAACAATTTATAAGAAAAATATTTCAAAATATTTCAGTGCAAAACTATAGTAATTATTTCCGCCAAAATCTGAACTTTTCTTGAGTTGTTAAATATTAATTATTTTATCATTGGTAACAAAGCGTGACAAAGTGAATGGTTGCCCATTATCAACAATTAAACTAAAGTTGAGAAAGCTCATCAAACCCTGATCAATAAAATTTCTAAATACTGTCTGATCGTTAAAATATGAAAAATATCCATATGCTTGAATATCAGTGAAGCATGCATGATATTTCAGGCAAGCTGACCAAGGCCTGAGTTTCCTGGTTCTCAGTAGTTTCTCCAACCTTTTCCCACGTATATTCCCTGGCACACGGAGTAAACCCGAGACATCCTATTCATCCCTACCGGATACAAACCATTTATCTTAGACTTAATAGTCAACCCCACATTACAGTACTCCGCTTATAAAACCGAACACACGGAGATTTGAAACTAGAGTGAAAATATTGTGACTCCACCTTCACCCTGATCTAACCTGGAACTATAAAATGCTGAGGTTGTGGGGGAGTAGGAGAGGAAACAGAGGACGGGGTTCAGGAAGAGGATCAGGGCGAGGTGCTCCGGGTCCTGGTAAACCAGTGAAAATCCGAAAGTATGATATCCACACCAAACCTCCAGAAACTCTGTCCAAGCATCTTCTTCCTTGTCATGTCAGACTTCTTGATGGAACAGATTTATATATTCAACTATTGGTAAGATTTATATATTCAACTATTGGTAAGATTTATATATTCAACTATTGGTATGATTTATATATTCAACTATTGGTAAGNTGTCTTCTGTCTAAAGTCTGTACTCTACCGTCTACAGCCTATTTGTAAAGAAAGTGTATTGTAAGTATAATTGTTATATAATAGTTGATTAGTCTGCACTGTTCTTACTCTTTTCAAGCTGAGATAAACCAATGCGTTTACAGCAAATCATTCTAATATCTCACATAAATCTCAGGGTTGAACCCCCCCTCCCTTCCCCCCCATCCCTTAGGGTGTTCCGTTAATCATACAATACAACAAAACGCCTTACAGCTATTTTTAACATAAAACTATACTGTCCGTTCAATTCTGAGAACTCATTTTTTATTGTTTAAAGTGCAAACTCCTTATATAGTTATAAATGCCAAATTTTAACTCCCATGTCACTCTTCCTTTTCAATAAAATAAACAATAAAATATACAAAATAAGGTGAATCTGCAAATTCTATTTTGGAGAAGAAGAGGATCAAAATCTCAAAACCTTTTTATCATATAAAATCTTTGTGTAAGGTTTGATATTTCGAAATATTTGTAAAATTGGATTCATACAATTGTCAATTTCAGACGTGGCATTTTAGATAAACAAGATATGTTTCCTGGGTTATGGGATTTTTTAAATGAGTGCTGCTTTATCAGAAAAGATTTCATAATGATGAAATCATTGATTAATGTAGATAAACTGGCTAATAACTAATAAGTAATATTTAAAGAAGGTAAACTAAATCAAATGTTTGCAATTACAATGCATCCAGATACGGTTCTCCTTGTATCATTGATAAGGGGTTTGCTGTTTTCTATATTAAAAAAGGTAAACCAAATCAAATGTTTTAAATTAGAATAAATCCAGATATGGTTCTCCCTGTATCATTGATGTTAACTATACCCTTTTCTTTATTACAGAAGGTAAACTAAATCAAATGTTTAAAATTACAATGCATACAAATACGGTTCTCCTATCATTGATAGGCTTTAAAGTCAAGGTATTTGCACGTCATTAGCTGACTTTGAAACATGCTTTATACTAACCATAAAATTAAAAAATGGTCTTCTTACTTTCGTGCTCTACTCCTGTCTATATCTAGATCTAATCAAGGCAGTGGATAATATTTTAAACCGCATAAATACTGAAAAATTGTCAAATATTGGTTAAGAAATGTATCATTTGTCATATTTGGACATCAAACATGGGATTTAGAGGGGGGGGGTCAAATTGACCCCCACCCCCCCAGCATATCCTGGTTTTCAAGTACCCCAGCAGAGATAGGGTTAAAAAAGGTAAACCAAATCAAATATTTGCAATTACAATGCATCCAGATACGGTTCTCCTTGTATCATTGATAAGGGGTTATTAACTATACCATTTTCTATATTAAAAAAGGTAAACCAAATCAAATGTTTAAATTACAATAAATCCAGATATGTTTCTCCTTGTATCATTGATAGGGGTTAACTATACCATTTTCTATATTACAGAAGGTAAACCAAATCAAATGTTTTAAGTTACAATACATTCAGATACGGTATTAAAAAAGGTAAAGCAAATCAAATGTTTTAAATTACAATAAATCCAGATATGGTTCTCCTTGTATCATTGATAGGGGTTAACTATACCATTTTCTATATTACAGAAGATAAACCAAATCAAATGTTTTAAATCACAATACATTCAGATACGGTTCTCCCTTAATCTTTGATAAGGGGTTAACTATATCATTTTCTATATTAAAAAAGGTAAACCAAATCAAATGTTTTAAATTACAATACATCCAGATATGGTTCTCCCTGTATCATTGATAGGGGTTAAATATGCTATTTTCTATATTACAGAAGGTAAACCAAATCAAATGTTTTAAATTACAATGCATCCAGATACGGTTCTCCTTGTATCATTGATAAGGGGTTAACTATACCATTTTCTATATTAAAAAAGTTAAACCAAATCAAATGTTTTAAATTACAATAAATCCAGATACGGTTCTCCTTGTATCATTGATAAGGGGTTAACTATGCTGTTTTCTATATTAAAAAAGGTAAACCAAATCAAATGTTTTAAATTACAATGCATCCAGATACGGTTCTCCTTGTATCATTGATAAGGGGTTAACTTTACCATTTTCTATATTAAAAAAGGTAAACCAAATCAAATGTTTGAAATTACAAAGCATCCAGATACGGTTCTCCTTGTATCATTGATAGGAGTTAACTATACCATTTTCTATATTAAAAAAGGTAAACTAAATCAAATGTTTTAAATTACAATGCATCCAGATACGGTTCTCATTGTATAATTGATAGGGTTTAAAGTCATTCACTGACTTTGAAACACACTTTATAATAATCATAAAATTAAAAAATGGTCTTCTTAGTTTCGTGTTCTACTCCTGTCTATATCTAGATCTAATCAATGCAGTGGATAATATTTTAAACCGCATAAATACTGAAAAACTGTCAAATATTGGTTTAGAGCAGTTATATTTATTTTTGTATACAATTATGTATATAGAATTATCAAATTTTATAGTTATACATAACTCGTCGGATTCAATTGTTTAAGCAAAAACTAAATTATGATGATGATAAATAAACATGCATCCTGGTTTGCATGAAAATAAATATGTATTACAGATTATCGAGTATCCTGTATCTCTCTAATACAGAGACTCCTAGAGTTTACTTTGTATCTCTCTAGTACAGAGACTACTAGAGTTTACTCCTGTATCTCTCTAACACGGAGACTCCTAGAGTTTACTTTGTATCTCTCTAATACAGAGACTTCTAGAGTTTACTCCTGTATCTCTCTAATACAGAGACTCCTAGGGTTTACTCCTATATCTCTCTAGTACAGAGACTACTAGAGTTTACTCCTGTAACTCTCTAATATAGAGACTCAAGGTATATCCTAGAGTATCCTGAAGAAGATTGGTTCTGTAACTCCAGGGAGGACATGATGTAGAAACCGTGAAATAGTATTTTCTGTATCCTCGACTCTAACCAATAATAGAACTAATTACTTCATTTCAAGTTTCCTTACAGCCTGCAAGTTCGTGAGACAACTAAATATACTACTGTGCTGAGAGGGGAGTAGGTGTCAAAAGGAAGGTAGTGTTCAGGGGGGGTGTCGAAAGGAAGGTAAAGATAGTGCAAGGGGAAGGGGGTGTCAATAGGAAAGTAAAGGTGTTGATTGGGGGAGTGATGTATCAAAAGGAAAGTAAAGATGTTGATAGGGGGAGNAGTATACTAGAATATACTGGAGTAATATCACTATTCTCTAGTAAAGGAAACGGGATGAAAATGTAAAGGATGAAGGATCAAGCATTTAAAAATATGTCATTGAGAACTGTACAGTTTGATGACCGTGACCTGTTAACTTGTCTATTAGCAACAAAATACTATAATTAAAACAATTTTAATTAAAAATATGCTTGAGAAATTTTCAAAACTTTTTTGGTTTTACAAATTAAATTATTTCAGAGCGGTGCACTGGGGTGCGAGTTGTTGGAGTGTGTTTACAAACACCTGGATATTGTAGAAACGGATTACTTTGGTCTCCAGTATACAGATGAAACAGGGCTCAGCAGATGGATTGATATGACAAAATCTATAAAGAAACAGACTTCAAAACAGAAAGGTACCCCCACCCTCCCCGCCTTTGTATAAGT